GTGTGTGTGTGTGTGTGTGTGTGTGTGTGTGTGTGTGTGTGTGTGTGTGTGTGTGTGTGTGTGTGTGTCACTGTCACATCTATTTGCTCTCTCAGTGCGCCTGAGTCTGCTGGCAGACCAGGAGGACATCTGGCTTTTGCCTCATCCCTGACTTAAGACAGCTACTTATATTTGCAAGTCTCATATTATGTAATTGTGATGCAAAAGTCAAGTCCTCGGGGGTATCACTCGTAGATTGGTGGATACCACTAGGCCTGTCACGACAACAAATATTACAGGAAGATAAATTGCCTCAGAAATTATTGCAATAAATAATAATATGGTTGGAGACCATTTTAAACTAAAAGAATGGTATAACAACCCGTTTACAGAGGTTTACATTAAAATTTGCATAGTGTAAAAAGAAACATGAAGAAAACAAAAAAGCAGGCAAATGAAAATTGTCTTCATTTTAATTTATCTTCCTCAATTTAATTTATCATATGGTTAATTGATTTTTGTTTATTGTGACAGGCCTAGATACCACTTCCTTTTTGTGCCAAAGAGAGGTGTCTTCTTAATACAGGATACGTTTTTTTTTTATTGTATAAATGGTCTTATCTGTAGGGAACTTATTTGTTATTCTGTTATTCATTATTCTGTTCATCTCAATGCTTTGCCTTGCTTTTTCACTTGTGTGTCAGGTGTGCACCATGGCGTCCAAATCCCACCCTCCTCTAATGAAGAAGCACAGCCAGACGGACTTGATAAGCCGCCTGAAGAGCCGGAAGATCCTTGGAGTTGGTGGCGAAGATGATGATGGCGAAGTTCACCGCTCAAAGGTCAGGTAGCCTCAGATCATTCTGCAGACAGTTTATTTCACACAGGGTGAGATGTAGACAGCAGTTTCCAAAAGCGAGGCTATTAACACAAACGCAGCTTGGTTATAAATACTGTGTAAACTCATATTAAATGGATCATTTTAGATGAAATCCTAAACATAAAATGATTCTCTAACATAGAAGCCTTTGTTAACCCAAAGGGGAGGTGTGTGTTCTTTTAAAAGCCGTAGTGGGCATCTAATTGGCTCATCTCTCTTTTGTGGGCTTTCGCTTCTTATGCTTCGGTGAGTCTAGATCACGTAATCTTCTAAGCTCTCGCATCTCCACTGAGATACAATGGACTCCCCTGGGAGACTCCCTGCCTTTTTCATCTCATGTGTAATATTACTTCCTCACATCCGTTTGTACATGCATATGGACAATGCATACCAAAACATAATGATGCCCATGCTGTTTTATTCAGAGACACAAAACCACTTCACACTTTCATACTACACTGACACACAAAATTTCTCCCTTTTATAATGGACTCCAATATCACAGTTTAAATGTTGTTAGTTTCTTTATACAGTATATATATATATATATATATAT